GCAAAACTTTCTCGGGATTTCACAAAAACATTTGCACGATCTCGCAAAAGTCACATCATTCCTACTGAATTTTTTTGTGGAAACTGTGCCTCTTGTTAGGCACTGCTTCAATGTCTTTATATTTTAGGCCGATTTCAAAATAAAACTCAATAAAACTCTCGTACGGGTGTGTCCTCCATTGACATTTCTCCATACTGCAAAAAAAAAAACAACCCAGAAGTTTATATACCTATACACAGTGCTCGGGTTGAGGGGGGATGAGGAGGGATGGCATCCCCCCTGAAATAAAAATGTTAAAAATCATCCCCCCTCTCAAACGGTCATCCTCCCTTTTCATCCCCAGCCGTTTCTACCAATGAATGTGGAAATATTACTACGATTCTGAATTTCTGACAATGGAAATATAACCACTATTCCAATATTTAGGGGGATCTGCTACATATAAACTCTGTATCCATTCAAATATAAAAGCCAAAACATATCCAGGCATTTTCCAGATGAAGTGAACACACATCAGTAATCTTCATTGTTACATTCTCAGCTGAAATATTTTCAAAAATTAGTAAAGTGATATATGAATAGAGCTACAGCTATGATGGGCAATTTTATACAAAAAAGCTTTGAATGTTTCTTCTCCTTCATCAGATTGATGGAATGATACGGGACCGAGGACTGACTGATTTCAAGCTGCGATGGAAGATTCAGCCCAGAAAAGAGGAGGAGGACAAAGATGAAGACACTTGTAACACGCCTTCATAAGTCATAGTGAAAGTAGTAACAGTGTGGTAAAATTAAGTAAAGATTGAGATGTAATTGTAGCTTTGATTTAAGTAGCATTATAAGAATTGAACGAATATATCATATAGGAGGTGCTGCTTTTAAATAGTCTAACAAATGACAAATGTATCTGCATGACTGACCTACTGTATCATTTTAATACTGGATTTATATTTTCTTCATTCAAAACTATTCATTTATCTTAGAAAGACCAGGCTGTCTGAAAGATGTAAATGTAAAAGTAGAAGACGCTTTAAATTAGCTTGAACTCAGCGAGTTGTTTGGCAACAAACCTTGAACTGAATCAATGTGACAAAAGCAACGATGTGCAAAACAGATAAATATCAACTATTGTAAGATAAAATCACTGCTTCTGTGTCAGCAAGATTGTGTGCAAGTGTTTATAAAGACAATTACACCACCACAAAAGTCCAACACATATAGAGGAAGGTCAGTCGTGATGAACTCTGATGACATCTCAGTCAAATTACTTTTGTTGGTTAATCCCAGTCCACCAAAGCCTTCCAAAGTGCTCTGTTTAGAAAGGCAAATTAAACAATTGCAAATCAGACTGCCTTGACTATGTAGTGCATTCAGTGTATCCCATAATACACTTTGAAAAGTAATGTACAGTCGACGGCAGGGATGGGTATCGCTTGGATTTTATCAATACCAGCACTAATATTGCTTATTGATACCAGTATTTATTGATGCTCCTATCGATACCATTCTCTATAAATTACAGCAGAAAATAAAGACATGACAAAAACAAAGCCAGCACTTCAGAAAACTCTGCTAGAAAAAAAAGTTTGACTCGATTCTAATGAATGAGTGACAGAAATGTTTTAAACTCTGTTCTACGCTAAGATGGCCACAATAAAACAAGATGATTTAATTACACAGTCATCTGACCGTGGTATGACTAAACCACACACTCACAGCAGTCTTTATATGTGGAGGCTATCAGTTTTCACGTCTGACTCATCACTTTCTTTTATTATTCTTTTTATTTTAGGCCACCATGGCTGATTCTTTGATGTTCACTGACTGTGTCAATTACATCAACTGTAAATTGTAACATTTATGCTGTAAATCTTTCCTATATTTTTTTGTGTAAATCTACTTTTTGTCCATGATTGGTATATCAGTGACGTGCGGTCAGGGGAGGCAGGTGAGACATCACGGAAAGAAAAAAATATATAATGATAAAATCATTTTAATGGTTATATTTATCCAGTGAATTGTTCTATAAAGTATTTATTTTTTCATTTAACCTCTCCAGTTTTGACGATTTTTAAATTCAAAATTGCTGAATTTTCGCAATTTCCCATTCAAATGCTTGGAAGAGAAGCCGGTGAGGCAGCAGCAAGCTGAGCCTCACTTGGATTGAGCAATCCCTCACTGCACAGGCTGCCATGCGTAGGCTGTCACTGCATGGCAGCCAGCGAAGTGAGGGATTGTGCAATCCAAGTGAGGCAGCAGCGAGCTCCGCCCATAGACTGTATAAAAGATGGACGTAGCAACCGGCCCTGAAAAATGAAGCCAACCCAGAAGTGTCAAAAACCTGCAAAATCACGACGTCCGGTAGCTGCTGGCTCCAGAAAGCCCTGGCTCCCATAGACTTGAATTGGAAAAGAAGTG